GACATCATCTTGTCAGGTGCTCCACGTGTCAGAGTGCACGTATCGAAAAACTAAAAAAACTGGAGCCATTGTTGCTCTCACTGGTCGTCATCATAGACCAGGGTACTATTTACGTGAAAGGCCACATACCAAAAGTGAACCTAGCCAATGTGCAGGTATTGAAATTGAACCCAGCCATTGTGCGGGTATTGAAATTGAACCCAGCCATTGTGCGGGTATTGAAATTGAACCCAGCCATTGTGCGGGTATTGAAATTTGAACCCAGCTATTGTGCGGGTATATAAAACAATTAACAACCGCAACTGCTGCTATATTCAAACAAAATAACACTGCTGACTGCTTGCTGATTTGCAGGTACATTACTGAAGAATATACTGACAAATAAAAATATTCAGTAATATCTATATTAACTCGACAATTGACAATTGGTTTTGAGTTCTAGGCCACAAATATGGGTGTCACTATTGAAGTTTATCGCTCCAGGATTGGTTCACACCACAATTTTACAGACCGTCGCAACAGTATGTACCGTTTAAAGGTAAACTTTGGAATCAAATACTATTAATGTTTTATTTCAATGTATTCTGCTTGCCTTATTTCAAAAGCCAATTGAATAAGAGCCAATTGAATAAGAGCCAATTGAATAAGAGCCAATTGAATAAGAGCCAAAAGATTAGTGAATTGTGCTTTTGGTATGTTCAAATGATATACTTTCATGATGTTTATGTGCCATTACTATTAAGACTCTCAAATGATGTAGAGGAAAATCCAGGTCCTAGAACTTCAAATGATTTAGTTGATCCTGCATGTACAATTCATGCAGATTTTAATCAAGGTAATGATTTAATGTTTGGTATGAGTGCTGGTAAACAGTGTGCAGCCATGTCATTATATGCAATTGTTTACAAAGAAATTAAGTCAGTCAATATTTGGGATAGATCAATTCTAAACACAGTTTTAATAAGTGGAAACAGTTTGTATGGTGTTATCAGTCAAAGTATAAATAAGAGTTACCTTTAATTTGCAATACAGTGATTCCTTTTCAGGAGCATTATACATGAGTGAAAATAGTCTCCCATTTGTGACACTTGAGCATGCTTTAAACGAAATATTTTATTCATTAAACTATAAAAGTTGTTTACTTACAATTGGTATGAATACTGTGGCAATTATGATGCCTTTTTTGGGTGTGTTTAAAGTGTTTGATTCACATTCAAAAGATCTATCTGGTAAACCATCTGCATTGGGTTATTGTGTTTAATATCAGTGGAAGGAATAGAAAAACCTTGGAGAGTATTTTCGATTAACATCAATGTCCAATGAACCAAGTAGTGTATTACCATTTGAGTTAAAGGGTGTAAAGTGCATCCATAATCATGATATGGAAACAGTATTGTCTACAGAAAATAGTACAAATTGTGGTATGGTTGATGTAGGTTTTGCTGAGCTATTTGAACAACATAGTGTAAACACACAAGAACTGAACAACAAAAGGAATGGTCAAACATTTAGAGAAAGGGTACAAACTAATGAGTCGACTGATGAAAGTGAAGCTAGACTTGAAAAAATCAGTAAGTATAATAATGCCGAAAAAACAAAAAGACAGAATGAGTCAACAGAGCAAAGAGAAGCTAGACTTGCAAAAATGAGAGATTATAATAATTCTAGAATACTAAACAAGTCAACAGAGCAAAGAGAAGCTAAACGTGCAAAAAAGAGAGAATATCAAAATTCTAGAATACTAAATAAGTCAACGGAGCAAAGAGAAACTAGACTTGCAAAAGAAGAGAATATAATAAATCAAGAAAAGAAAAATTAAATAATGAGACCATTCAGCAAAAGGAAGCTAGACTTGCAAAAAATAATGAACGGAAAAGAGCTTGTAGAAAAAAAAATCACTCTGCAAAGCAGTACGAGACAAAAGGTAACAAATTGCATTCAGTGAGAACTGTTACAGATGCTGTAAATTACTTGCCCAGTGAAAATATTGATACATTTGCACTTGTTAAAAAGTTTCATGATTCTGTATCTACAGGACCTTTGTATGTTTGCACTTGCTGTGATCAATTATGGTATAAACATTCTGTCTCCCCTGCAGACAGAATAAAAATGATCAGTCTTGATATAATCAAGTATCCGCAAAATATAAAAAGTGTTGATAACATTGAATGGGTTTGTCAAACCAACCTCACAAGCCAGGCTCTTTTACCTACGCTCCACGGCCCACGCTGCGGCAAAGACCATGGTCAAGGCTGGTCACATGATTCTTTTGTTACGCTTCTCCTGTGTGGGGATGGGTGGGACACAAGTAGCGCATAAATCACATCAGTTAAAACAGCTTGTTTCTAAGGACTGAATAATGAATATTGAGCGCTGTTGTACCGCAAAGTGAGATAACCTGTGTGGTTATTGTTTTTGACCTCTAAATTCGCTCATCAACGCCCAAATTTAGAATATAGCACAGCCTTCGAGTGTCGGTATTGAATGTCAACAGAACTTGTGACGGTACTATAACCGATTCTATCGACGATGATACAGTCTACACATACAATTTGAATCTAAATTCGGCTGATTATTTTTTTAGTTTTTTGCTGCGCCACACTAGCAGTATTTTTTTAGTTTATTGTGTGAACCGCTATTTTTAGTTGTGTTAGTACAAAGCCATCTGGATTCTGGACTTGTGACAACTGACAAGTGCTAAAAAATAGCAGAAATGGTATATCAACTTTGCCACTCCTCCCATGGATATGAACTAAGCGCTAATTAATATCTTTCATATTTTGGGAGATTTTGCGATGCCACATGACCAGCCTTGACCAGGGTCTGGCTTGCGAGGTTGTTGTCAAACCTGTAACAATTAATGAAAGGGAAAGTTCCCCCTTGTGCCATTGCCAATGGCATGAAATTTCCAGAAAAACCATCTTACTTTGATCTGAATGAACTAGAATGTCGACTTATTGCTCCTCGACTAGCATTTCAAAAGATTTTTCAGCCCCCAAGGGGTGGTCAACTCAAGATTACTGGTAATGTTGTCAATGTTCCAGCAGATGTAAACAGCACAGTAAATGTGCTTTCTAGATTATCAGATGAGACAGGTACTATTAAAGTTCGACTTAAAGGAAGATTACAATACAAAAGTTCTGCACTTTCAATGAATATAAGACCTCACAAAGTAACGCAAGCAGCTGCATGGTTGATTAACCCAAGTCCTTTGTATGAAGATCAAGGCATCATTATCAATGAGAATTGGTTGAGAAGTTTACAAGAATCAATGGATGATACATCTGATAGTATTGAAACGTCAAATGATGCAGATGATTTAACAACACCCAATTCTCCAGAAGATGAATGGACTGAAGGTGAAGCTGAGATACCGGCTGGAGTAACCGACAGTATGCTGAGTCCCAGATTTTGTCAGTGATAGTGAAAGACAGGAAATTTATAATGTTGCACCTGGTGAAGGTAATAGACCATTGAGTATATTTAGAGATCAGTATTCTGAAGAAATGGCATATCCAGGAACAGTTCTTGGACAAAAAAGACCAGATGATAAACAAAGGTTAAGAAGTGTTTACTATAGTGAAATATGTAAATCTGAGTTAAGAAGATCTGATCGACGAGCTGCCATGTGTGTTGAAAATATATTCTTCAAAGCTAAATATTACAAATGAAATTTTTGATTGGTCAGTCACAGGTTGCTCTCCGAAAAAACAAAATAGGCAACAGAACACTTGAGATCAGAACTGCTGGAGACCTAAAAACTACAGAAGGTTTACAAAGTTTAATAAACCATGATGATGGTTTCAGATTTATGAAAACTCTCAGGGGTTCACCGCCTTATTTTGAACGAGCCAAAAAGGACTTGTTTGCTATGATTCTCCAGTTGGACCAGCAACATTATTTTGCAGTTTCTCGTCGGCAGAGACAAAATGGAATGACTTATTAAGAATTCTCGGTAAACTTATTGATCACAAGGAATTTAGTGATGAAGAATTAAATAATTTTACTTGGGAGGAAAGGTGTCGACTGATTCAAAGTGACCAAGTAACCTGTGCAAGACATTTTGATTTTCAGTTCAATACTTTCTTAAAAGATGTCTTAATGAGCAAACTTGCCCCATTAGGCAAAATTAAAGATTGGTTTTATAGAGTCGAGTACCAACACCAAGGGTCACCTCATATTCATATGTTGATATGGATTGAAAATGCACCTGTGTTTGGTGTTGATAAAGATGAAGATGTTGTTGCTTATATTGACGGCATAATTACCTGTAACAAACCAGAAGATGATTTGGAGATACTCTATCTTGTGAATAGACAGACACACAAGCATTCTCATACTTGCAGGAAAAAGTCTAAAAATATTTGTAGATTCAACTATCCACAATCACCAATGAGATGTACTCAGATTCTTTATCCACTCGATGAAGATACTCCTTTGACTGCTGCTAAAGCCAGCAAAGAGTTGTGGAAAAATATTAAAAGTAAACTAAATGATTTCAAGGAAGGTAAAGACATTACCTTTGATGAACTACTACAAGATTTATATGTTTCAGAACGTCAGTATATCCTTGCTATACGATCATCTTTGAATACTCCAACAATCTCTTTGAAAAGAAGTCCAAATGAGTTAAGGATTGATAATTACAATCCTGTTTGTCTTCGAGCATGGCGAGCAAACATGGACATTGAATATGTCTCAGATGTATATGCATGTGCAATGTATATTGTATCATATATTTCCAAAGCCCAAAAAGGAATGAGTGAATTACTTTGTAAAGCTTGTGCTGAAGCAAAAGAAGGGAATACTAATATATCAAGCAGCAAGTTCGTGATATTGGTAACAAATTTTTGAACGCTGTCGAAATAAGTGCACAAGAAGCAATGCATGTTGTTTTGCAGCTTCCAATGTGAAAATCTTTATGTAATGTAATTTTCATTAATACATCTCCTCCTTCTGAAAGAGTCGAATTGCTTAAACCGTTGAGTGAAATAGAGAAAATGGCTGATGAATCAGAAGAAATTCAGTCTGGAGGTCTTTTAAAAAGATATATAGAACGACCTGATTGTTTGCAAAATGTGACACTGGCCGATTGGGCAGCATGGTACGACTCTAGTGGTCAACAGACATATAGGAAAACAAACAAGTCTGATGTTGATAAACTTCCATTAGAAAATGATGATGAAGATAATGACGATGAATTGCCAAATGACGAAAATCTTCAAATGGTAAAAGCTTCCAGAAGTAAACATGCAAAGAAAAGATCTCGATCTAGAGTAATCCAAAGTGTCTGGTTTAATAAAGAGGCACGACCTGAAAAACATTATCGGGAGTTAATTATGCTATTTACTCCTTGGCGAACTGATTTTTTGAGAAATTATTCTTCTTTTGAAGACAACTAATTAGCTCTATATGATGAAATGAGAAAGCAAATGGAGCAATATGCTGTTTGTAGTGAAGATTTAAATGAAATTGGACATAATTTTGACGAATGTGATGATGCTTTTGATACAATAGCACCTGTGACACAAGATGTTGAACGACATGATCAGGACCAAGGATGCGTGGACACGCACACATCCAGATTTAAACAAAACTTTTGATCACCTTGCAGAAAATTTGGGTATACCGTCTTCTTTACCAAATAATGAACCGCTCATCTTAAATGAAATGCAAGATAACGAATATCGAGCTTTAGTTCAGATGCTGAATAAGAAACAAAGAGAGTTTTTCTATCATGCTCTGCATTTGATAAAAGCATCAGATAAACCATTTCACGCATTCCTCAGTGGAAGTAGAGGTGTTGGAAAGTCTCGCCTTATTAAATCGATATACCAGGCAGCATTGAAGTATTACAATACACGAGCGGGATAAACACAATGAGACTGGAACTGGGTTCATTAAAGTTGATATTACTTGATGAAATATCAATGGTTGGCAACAGTATGTTCACCATTCAATTAAACAACCGTTTGAAAGATTTAAAAGGTAGCAAAGAAGATTTCGGCGGTGTCAGTATAATCACAATAGGTGATTTATTTCAACTGAAGCCTGTAATTGGACAGTTATATATTCACAGATGTTCAGTGCTTAAATTCTTACGATATTCTTGCCCCAAACTTATGGAGGAAATATTTTAAAATGTTTGAGCTCAATGAAATCATGAGACAGAGAGAAAGCAAGATTTTCGCAGAGATTCTCAATCGACTTCGTGAAGGTAATCATACTCCTAGTGATCTTAAAAAACTGAAAGAGAGATGTGTTGAAGAGAATATGTGTCCCAGAGACGCCCCACGTTTATTCATTCAAAATGCTTTAGTTGATGAATATAATGATAAAGTTTATCAATCATTCAATCGTGGTGATAAATACGTAATCAAGGCACAAGATAGCGTCATTGGATCCTGTTCAACTGAACTCAAGGAAAAAATAATCAGACAAATACCACATGTTCCTTTGAAAAATTAAAAACAGTTGGCTTATAAGCTACATATTGCAGTCGGACAACGAACAGAACTTGCGATCAATATACGCACTGATGATGGACTAACAAACGGCGCAAGTAATGTTATTAAACATATTCAATTGACCAATGATACCAAACCCTTTGGCCTCGTCTGGGTTCAGTTTGACTGCAAATATGTTGGGAAAACAAGTACGATCGTACTATAGTGGACCAGGAGCTGCGTGACCGAGTTTCTGAACTGCATTGTATTTACAACAGAGAAGACAATGTATTTCTAATCGTTTGTGTATTCTTATATATAGGCTGAATATTGATGATATGTATATATTATTTGCTGCACATATAAGTCAAGAATTGCTTGTAACTTGCTTCAATGGTCAAAAGTAAAAATTCGAACTCCATCTATCAATGCGGAAGATTGCTTAGAATAATTGTGCCAAGTTTCATTCCGATCAAACAAGTAATGATAGAGCCTTAGGGTTTTTTTAAAGAGCGTCGCCCCCTAACAACAACAACAACAACAACATTAGCAGCGGTTAGGGACCAGTTTTTGGTCCAAAAACCCGACAAGAAAATAGAATCTTATATGCCGGAGGTACATGCATACTGAGTAGTTGGACACCTATTAAATCGGTTACAACGCAATTTGCTGTAGGTAAAACAAAGTCTGCTCAAGTGGTAAGAAAGCAATTTCCCTTAAGACTAGCGTCGGCTAAAACTGTTCATAGATCACAAGGTGATACTTAATCACAAACCGTCGTTAATTTGAATACGAGAAGAGCAATTCCTCATATTCATTACGTCGCTCTAAGCCGAGTAACAACAATTGAAGGACTATATATAACTGATCTCTGCGAAAGTAAGATTTCTGTTGATCCTAAAGTCGTACAAGAAATGCAATCGCTGTGAAATGAGTATAAATTAGATCTTTGTTTTACTCCTTTGTACATGCTGAATCACACTGACATCAAAATTTGTCATCTCAATGCAAGATCTTTGCACAAGCATATAGAAGATGTACGAAAAGATATTAATTATTTGTCAGCCGACATCCTAATTTTTACTGAAACAAGATTTAGTTCACAAGATCCTGATGAAATGTATGCAATTGAAGGTTATGAGTTATTTAGAAATGACGAGATTTCAAATGTTAACCGTCCATATTACGGAATAGCTGTTTATTCCAGAGTTCCCATGATGATTGGATACCCTTGTGTGAAAAACTGTCATGGGATCAAGTTAACTATAATGAAGACAGTCCAACGCCCAGACTTAATTGTAATTGGAATATACAAATCTCCAAGACTTGTATTATCATCTCTTTTGGCTGCCATTTGTGCCACTTTGGAAGAAAATCCTTCTACACAAGTTATAATCATTGAAGACTTTAATGTTAATTGGCTTGATGAGGTAGAACGAAGATTATTGTACAACCTTATGATCAATGAAAATGGCTTTGACCAACGTATATCTAGCTGTACAACAGATAATAGGACATTAATTGATCATGTGTATACGAATTTGATTGAAGAAGATGTCCAAGCAGGTACTCTTGGAACTTACTTTAGTGATCACAAAAGGGCAAGCACGACAAAGAAAATAACTATATCCTTGTCCCTCTGCTGTTATCTGGTATCGACATCCAAAATACTGTAAACTGTCACTGGAACGTGTATACCAAACAAGAACAGTTTTCTTTTCTTAAGCATCACTGAACTTCTTGACACATTCATGCAAGACAAAGACAACAAAATGATGCATTTCTGGTAACTATTATTTGTTAAGTACGCATTTACATCAGTGCTGAATAATGGATTCATTCTTAACTGATTGTCGGACTGATAATATGATCAATGAACAATTGTAAACAAGCCAAAGAATTCTCATTGGATCAATACGCTCAGGCAACTTTCTCCGACTAAATTAATGGTGATAGAAACATTGTCTGTGTTTTGCCTTCGTATACTGGATTCGTGGTATCGTTAAAAAAGTAATTTCATACAAAAGAAAAACTATGGCAAGAAACTTTGCATTGGTGATTTATAACATCATTCAAAATCAACCTCTTAGCTAACATCGTAAATTGCATACATCGAACGACAAAATTACACACACAAATTGTTGTAAAACAAACATCATAGCGTACTGATATTGAACTGAAAGCTGATTAATCAGTGACTTTTTGAAATTGTAAAAAAAACTGGAACACTCCGAAAACTTCTTTTGTACATTCAATATATATTAGATATTTGTTTTATATCACAATGTGTGCTGCCATCCTGGAACCTGATTTCTTTTCTTTTGTACTGTCAACATTGTTTTGTCCAACACATGTCTTCTAATATTTTTGTGTATGCTTTTTCTATATTCTCTCTATTCTCTCTCTTGTAAAAAGATGTTTTATGTGTGAATTCCGTCATTCGAAATTTATATGAAAAATGTCTATATAATTGTCTAGAATGTGTATTTCATGTGATTATTTAATTTAATTGTGTAATAAAATGTTATTTTCTATTACTGTATCTAACATATATATATATTGACTAGTGCATTTCTTTGGCGAGAGAGGTTTATGACATTGAAAACGTAAAACTAATCAATGCAATGATTTTTTTGTCGCCATCTGTTTGACAGTGAGCATAACTTGAAAGCAACGTTCCTTACCTAACCCCCAAAAAGGCTGCCATAATATCGGTTATTTAACCCTCTAGTGCCCAAGGGGTTTCCCTGTGACGAGTAAAATCGTCTGGCGTTAGACAGAGTAAAATACTCTGGCATTGGACAGAGTAAAATACTAAAGTGTCACAATGGCCACTACTTATAAGATCTACTTTGTTTAATGGTTTTAGAGCTTGATGTTCAAAAGACATTATAGGTATAATTAAAAGCCGGTGACCATGCACGATTTTTGAGAATGACTATGTAAGTTGCAGTGCTTTGCTTTACTGTAATCGCTGCTGATGTTTTCAAGGCAACCCACATGTACGCTATGCGTACCTCTCGTTTTTATATGTATAGATATACATCTACACATCTACACATCTATACATCTATACATCTATACATATATACATACATCTATATATACATCTATATATATACATCTATATATATACATCTATATATATACATCTATATATATACATCTATATATATATATACATCTATATATATACATCTATATATATACATCTATATATATACATCTATATATATATACATCTACCGGGTGTCCCAAAAAAAACTTTACCTGTTTGTCTTAATATAACTCAAAAACGATAAAAGCTATTGAGTTGAAATAAACTCCACTGTATACAAGCAGGGCTAACTTAGATTTTGATATATAACATTAAATTATTGATGTGATATTTACGGAGATACAAGCATTTGATGTCGCAAGGTACTTTCAAAATCCGTGAAAAATTGACAAAAATCGGCTATTAAATTAATTCGAAAATACTTGCATGCCACTTCCCGTGGTAAGTTTTTAACTTCAGCGATTTTAACTTTAATTGTTCGCTCTTATATAAGAGTAAGTTTGCAATGGAAAAGCTTACATTTAAAGTTAAAATCACTAAAGTTAAAAACGTAAAAGTTAAAGTATTAGTTTCGAATTAATTTAATAGCCGATTTTTGTCAATTTTGCACAGATTTTGAAAGTACCTTGCGACATCAAATGCTTGTATCTCCGTAAATATCGCATCAATAATTTAGTGTTATATATCAAAATCTAAGTTAGCCCTGCTTGCATGCAGTGGAGTTTATTTCAATTTAATGACTTTTATTCGTTTTTGCGTTATATTAAGACAGAGGTAAAGTTTTTTTTGGGACACATCTATATATATACATCTATATATATATATACATCTATATATATACATCTATATATATACATCTATATATACATTTAGTGCCATCAACTGGATTAATTCCATATCTATCTGATAGAACTTCAACTGTCTACATTAATGGAGCATATTCTCATCCAACTGAGATCGAATGTGGGGTACCACAGGGTAGTTGTTTTGGCCCATTGCTTTTTAGCTTGTTTATTAACGATTTACCTACCGCCTTAACTACAGCCGATATCACTTTGTATGCTGATGATAGTACTCCATTTCAAGCTGCTGATAGAGCCAATGTTGTATCTGCTAATCTCCAAAGTGATTTATCTAATATTGAGGCATGGGTTTTGAAAAATAGTTTGATCCTCAATACTGATAAAACCAAAAGCATGCTAATTGGAAGCCGGAAAAAAGTAAAAGTTGCACAACCTCTTAACTTACGTATGAACTACAAGAATATAAAGCAATATTCATGCGTAAAACTCCTTGGTGTTCTGGTTGATGATACCCTAAGTTGGAAGCCACATTGTGAGAAACTCCTCAAAGACTGTTCCAAGTGTCTTGGTCTATTAACCAGATTCAAGAAATACATGCCACCTACAGTTCTAAAGTCGATTGCTGAAGCATTAATATTGTCTAAACTGAACTACTGTTGTACTGTATGGGGTGCTGTATTAAACCAGGATTCTATAAATTATCTACAAAAGCTTCAGAATAAGGTTGCTAGATTAGTTTTAAATTATAAAATTAATGAAATCTCTAGAAAAGACTTACTTATCGAAATAAGCTGGCTAACTGTCAGGCAAAGGATACATCTCCAAACTGTCATGATGTTACATAAATCATTATACACCTATGAACCTTCCACAATTTATATGCATCTTCATGTATTACAAAATTTTACATGAACATGGCACAAGGTTTTCATTAAGGTGTAGGAACGATAAATTATTATTAGAGAAACCTCAATTTAAGAAAACATTTTTAGCCCGGGCATTTAGAGTTAGAGGAATTGAAATATGGAACAATCTTGATAGTGAAATAAGGAATATAGCCTGTAAGTCTCGGTTTAAATCTGTCTTCTGTAAGCAGCTTGAATGGTTTATATAGTATGTTTTAGATCTCTATTTTCTAAAATTATAAAATAGCTATAAATATTTATCATATATTTATTCGTTTAATCTATAGGAGTTTTACTTAGAATTTTAGTAGATTATTTACATAATTTATTTCAATTAGACCTCGTGTAAACTAGCTTAAGCTAACTGAGGATCTTATTAAATACAAATACAAATACATCTATACATACATCTATATATACATCTCTACATACATCTATACAGGGTGTATCAGAAAAAACTAGAAGATTTTAAAATGTCCAGAAAACTATCATTTTATCAAGATATCTCAAAAATATATTTACGTCTAAGTATTTTAGCATCTTCTGGCTTATCTAACAGTAAAAACTAGCAGAAAAATTAACCTCGAAAAGCGGGAGAACGGTTTGTAAAAGCCTCATTTTTAACCGGTTGTGCAAAGAAAATGGGACGTTGAAAATCCAAGTTCAGTTAAAGAGGTGAAAGTTTGGAATCATTTGTGCAATGTAACGCAATTTCAAAAAAATTTATAAGCTTTAGGTCCGCCGCGAAACGTTTCAAAATTGGATTTTTTTCCCCGTTTACTCCGCTCTCTCGTAACTTTTTACACACAAGAATGATTACATGCATGAGTGATAGTTGGAATGACGTACTTAAACATAACTAACAATGAATACTCTTATTTTATTGTTTTCATTTAACAAAGAGTGCTGGTAATTACATCATTCCAATTATCACTCATGCATGTAATCATTCTTGCCTGTAAAAAGTTACAAGAAAGCGGAGTAAACAGGGGAAAAATCCAATTTTGAAACGTTTCGCGGCGGACCTAATGTTTATCAAATTTTTTGAAATTGCGATACATTGCACAAAAGATTCCAAACTTTCACCTCTTTAACTGAACTTGGATTTTCGACGTCGCATTTTCTTTGCACAAGCGGTTAAAAATGAGGCTTTTACAAACCGTTCTCCCGCTTATCGAGGTTAATTTTTCTGCTAGTTTTTACTGTTAGATAAGCCAGAAGATGCTAAAATACTTAGACGTAAATATATTTTTGAGATATCTTGATAAAATGATAGTTTCCTGAACATTTTAAAATCTTCTAGTTTTTCTGATACACCCTGTATATACAGGGTGAGTAAAAAAAAACTGACACCTTTGAAATTCAAATTAGCTGCGAACTTATTGCTGGAATATGACAATTCCCATGTACAATCAACAAAAACGATTTGATAAAACTGTTCTTTTGTATTTACAGAGCTTAGAATGCATTTTAACTCCCAATGGGAACAAGCTTTATGTTTTAGGTTAATTAATATGATATGCTTCGTATAGCTATGAAATATTTTAAGCAACTTCTGTCACATTAAAGCCGCTATGCGACTAATTTGAATTTCAAAGGTGTCCGTTTTTTTTTACTTACCCTGTACATCTATATACACATCTATATATACATCTATATACACATCTATATATACATCTATATATACATCTATACATACATCTATATATACATCTACACATACATCTATACATACATCTATACATACATCTATACATACATCTATATATACATCTATATATACATCTATATATACATCTATATATACATCTATACATACATCTATATATACATCTATATATACATCTATATATACATCTATATATACATCTATATATACATCTATATATACATCTATATATACATCTATACATACATCTATACATACATCTATACATACATCTATACATACATCTATACATACATCTATACAAACATCTATACAAACATCTATACATTACATACATCTATACATACATCTATACATACATCTATACATTACATACATCTATACATTACATACATCTATACATTACATACATCTATACATTACATACATCTATACATTACAAACATCTATACATGCATCTATACATACATCTATACATACATCTATACATACATCTATACATACATCTATACATACATCTATACATACATCTATACATACATCTATACATACATCTATACATACATCTATACATACATCTATGAAGAGGACATTAATAACTTACAACAATATACAAGAAGAGACTGTGTAGAAATCGCTGGTTTGCCACGACAAATGGGAGAGAAAACTAATGACTTAGTTATCAAAGTTGGTCCGCTAATGGGTTTAAGTCTGGATGAATCAGACATTTCAACCAGTCATCGTTTACCGCAACCTACAAATAGAAATGAAAGTTATGCTGCTAGGCTAAGACCCAGAGATGGAGCTAATATCAATCCTCCCAAGATTATTGTCAAGTTTGTACGAAGAGAGACGAAGGAAGCTTTCTATTATGGGCGAAAGCTTTTGGCTGACAAATCAGCTCAAGATATTGGTCTGGGGAGATTGTCCAATGGTGGAATCTACATATCTGAGAGCCTTAGTCCTAAGAATAAAGATCTTTTTGGAAAATGTCTGAAATTTAAAAGAGACCATGGCTTTAAATTTATATGGACTCATTCAGGCTGTATTTATCTACGAAAGGATAAGGATTCACCAGCCCATATAATCTCAAAGGTTCAAGATTTGGAAAATGTGTGATAAGTATATTATATTAATTTCTTTGTACTGATGTCTTCTAATCTGAACAGTTTACCTAAACTTGATTTCACATCAAGTTCTCTAAATATATCATCACTGAAGGATTTTGACGTGAACATGAATCTCACAAGTAATGTCAACTTATATATAATTTTAATGATAGTCAAAATATCCAACAAATTATTGCTGAACCAGAGAACTTCTGCGTACTGCACAGCAATATCAGAAGCCTATCAGCCAATATTGATAATTTGTTATTAATGTTGTCTGATCTCAATTGCAAATTTAATATTATTGGATTATCTGAGACCAAAATTAGACTTGGTAACTTGACAGTGACTAATGTCAATATACCTGGATATAACTTCATTTCACAACCTAGTAATAGTCTAGCTGGAGGAGTGGGTTTCTATATTAGAGATGACTGTATGTTTTATTGTCGTGATGACCTGACAATTTCTACCGATGAATTTGAGATTTTATCTATTGAGATTCACAGGGAATCACAGAGCAATATAATTTGTTCTATAATCTATAGACATCCTCGTACTAATTTTGATAACTTTCAGCAATATCTTACAAAAGTTATGGATAAAATTACCAACAGCAACAAATATGCTGTTTTACTAGGTGATTTCAATATTAATTTATTAAATTATGAGTCCCATACTTCAACTGAGGAATTTATTAATAATATGTCAGCTTATTGTTTTCAACCTCTTATTTTACAAGCTACTAGGGTTACTGACCACACTGCAACCCTAATATTGATAATATTTATTTTAATTCACTTGAGCATCAGTGTATCACTGGTAATATTTTATCTGATATATCAGATCATTTCCCAAATTTTCTCATAATTAACAAATTAAATACCAAGTTTATAACAAAAAATGTACATCACAGAGGTTATTCTAACTTTAATGAAGAAGATTTTATTGAGGAAGTCAGAGGAGTCAGCTGGGAGCAGGTATTGCCAGAAACAGAAGATGTTAATTCCATCTTTGATTCATTTTATACTAAAATCTCTGAAATTACTGACAAACATGTTCCCCTAAAAAAATTATCAAGAAAACAAAAATCTTTCCTTACTAAACCATGGATAACAAAAGGATTGAAAACATCTATTGCAAAAAAGAATAAGCTTTATAAATCTTATTTAAACAACAAAAATGAATATAATCATTGCAAATACAAAATTTATAGAAATAAATTGAAACATTTATTATGTATAAGCAAAAAGTCTTATTATAATTTTTTTTTCTATTAACAATGGAAATATGAAACATATTTAGAAAGGTATAAAAGAGTTAGTCAATATTAAACAAAACTCAAAAACTATGCCATCATCTATACTACTTGGAAACCAGAAAATAACAAATCCAAAACAAATTGCGAATATATTTAATGAATATTTTTCAACTGTTGGATCTAATATTGCAAATGCAATACCAACAGTTAACACATCATTTCAACAGTTTTTAAAAACACCCAATAGGGTTAGTTTCATGCTATATCCAACATCACCATCTGAGATTGAAACAGAGATAAATGAACTCAATAATTCAAAATCAACTGGTCCTTTTGGCATTCCGACTAAATTACTTAAAATGGTTAAATCAACACTGTCCGTACCACTTGCTTGCATTTTCAATTGTTCATTTTTATCTGGAATAGTTCCTGATAAGCTAAAGTTGGCTAGGGTTGTACCAATATATAAAAATGGTTCAGTATCCCAGGTATCAAATTATCGCCCTATATCTTTACTGTCAGTTTTCAATAAAATATTAGAAAAATTAATGTATAAAAGATTAATTAATTTTTTCGATTACATACGAATACGAATATTATCGAATTAGAGGGTTAACAAATCGATGGTTTTCTTCCTATTTAACCAATAGAAAACAGGTGGTTTCATTTGGTGATGTTATTTCTGAACCAAAAGTAATTACATGTGGTGTGCCACAGGGATCAGTTTCAGGTCCACTTTTATTTCTGCTATATATTAATGATTTCTGGTGTTCGGCAAGAAAACTAGATTTTCATTTGTTTGCTGATGATGCTAATTTGTTTAATTCTCATACGAGACTTCAAAATCTAGAATCAAATCTAAATGAACAGTTGTTGAATGTTGATGTTTGGTTATCAGCTAATAAACTCTCGTTAAATATAGATAAAACACACTTTGTTATATTTCATCCACCACAGAAAAAACTAATTATAATGTAATTTTGAAAATTCTTAACTACCAAATTGAGCAAAAACAAAGTATTAAATATCTTGGTATTTTTATTGATTCACATTTAAACTGGAACTTGTATTTTGGAACTATCGAAAATGATATCCAGGGGAATTGGTATTCTTGCAAAGTTGCGACATTTTGTATCTATTGAAATATTGTTACAAATTTATTATGCAATTATTTATTCATTTCTTACGTATGCCATTTTGATATGGGGTAATACTTATGTTACCAATTTAAAACCTTTAATTGTTTTACAAAAGAAGGCGTTACGTATCATGACATTTTCTGATTATCGAGCACATAGTTCTCCATTATTCAAAAAGTTCAATTTATTAAAATTACTCGATATTGTGAAACTTTATACTGGTTTATTTATGCTTGATTATAGCAAGGGCTTGCTCCCAGTTGATTTTGACTCCTTTTTCAAAGAAAGTAAGCTTATTCACAGGCACCAAACTAGATTGTCATCGAAATTATTAACTTATGCGTTACCTCAACCGCGTACAAATTATGGAGTTTTTAATATTAGATTTACTGGGCTGAAAGTTTGGAATTCTTTCGAAGATATGCTAAAAATCCTAAATCGAAAACTATTTAAAAGGCACCTTAAAAGCCAAATCATTAAATACTACAATCTTGAATAATTTTGTAATTGTCCTGTTAGATTGACTCATTAGATTGACTCATACATATATTTATTTTTTCTTTATAATTTATTGTTTTTTTTTATGTGTGTAATGCTCAGCTATCAAAAGAATCTGGAGTGTATGTCTTTAAAATTTCTCCTTATAGGTCATCTGACTAGATTAGCCCTATATGGTTATTTCAGATGGCCTAACTCATTCATAAAGTTAAAATTCCTGTATGTCATTTGTATATATTTCTATTGAGTTTAATAAATTCTTTTCTGTTCTGTTCTGTTCAGTTCTGTTATACATACATCTATCTATACATACATCTATACATACATCTATACATACATCTATACATACATCTATACATACATCTATACATATATATATACATATATATATACATATATATATATATATATATATATATATATATATATATATATATATATATATATATATATATATATATATATATATATATATATATATATATATATATACATATATATATATACATATATATATATATATATATATATATATATATACATACATATATATACATATATATATATACATATATATATACATATATATACATATATATATATACATATATATCTATATACATATATATATATATATATATACATATATATATATATATATATATATATATATACATATATATATATATATATATATATATATACATATATATATATATATATATATATATATATATATATATATATATATACATATATATATATATATATATATATATATATATATATATATATATATATATATATATATATATATACATATATATAGATATACATATATATATACACATATATATAGATATACATATATATATATACATATATATATAATATATATATATATATATATGACACCGCGGAAATTGGTATAGGCTTAGCCGCAATTCTCGATACTTAGACTTCAAACTTGGTGAGGAAAAAGATTTATAAATATTCAAGAAAATATGTCTTGCACAAAAGATTTGAAGCTTGCTCACAGTAAAAACGAATCGTCTGAATTAATAACCTTGTGTATACTTTAAGCCTCAAAATGGCCATTTCACAGCGGTCAGATGTGTATGATGAGCTGTCAAAAGATTGCAGAATGCGTATTCAGAAGAAAAATTGAACTTTTTTAAGATATTCAAAAGGTTTCTCTTTGAAAGGGCGATACAGAAATGCACAATTATGAACCAGCGATTAGATTTTCGGGTTGAAACGTCTTAAACACCAATTTCTGCGGTGTCTATATATATATATCTAATATATATATATACATATATATATATATACATATATATATATATATATATATATATATACATATATATATATATATATATATATATATATATATACATATATATAGATATACATATATATATACATATATATATATATATATATATATATATATATATATATATATATATATATATATATATATATATATATATATATATATATATATATATATATATATATATATATATATATATATATACATACATATATATATATACATATATATATATACATATATATATATACATATATATATATACATATATATATATACATATATATATATACATATATATATATACATATATATAAATACATATATATATATATATATACATATATATATATATATATATATATATATACATATATATATATAAATATATATATATACATATATATATATATACATATATATATATACATATATATATACATATATATATACATATATATATATATATATATATATACATATATATACATATATATATATATATATACATATATATATATACATATGCCCGAAAATCTCTATTGTTCGACGACGGAGAAGCCTGGCGTAAAAGAAACAACGCCGCAATGTTTGATGTCACCATGGGGAGTTTCGATGGGGCCGAGATTTGTGATCTTGTGGGCCTTTTCATGTTATACCAACTCACGACGAAATTAAACAACAATAACATTGGCCTCTATAGGGACGACGGCCTTGCAGCCTTTCGATACATGGGACCGAGAACAGCTGATCGAATGAGAAAACGACTATCTGAATATTTCAGTGAATTCGATTTGAAAATAACCAGCCAAGCTAACTTAAAGATCGTTAATTACCTCGATGTCACACTTAACCTATCGGACGGCAATTACCAACCTTACAGAAAACCCGATAACCCGCCTATGTTTATTAACACAAAGTCCAACCACCCGCCTTCAGTGATACGACAATTACCAAGCTCAATAGGCCATAGAATATCGGCCCTTTCACGTAGTCACGATGACTTCGCGAAAGCAGCACCCATGTACAACGATGCACTCAAGAAAAGTGGTTTTACATCACCAATCGAATATAGCGATTTAAACTGCAGCAACAGCCAGCAAAACTAGGAGAAAAAGAAAAGAACCCGAAAGGCGACCTGGTTTAACCCACCGTACAGCCGTAATGTGAAGTGTAACGTCGCTGGTCGCTTTTTACGTTTAATCGATAAACATTTTCCTGGCAAGCATAAATTAAGCAAGATTTTTAACAGAAAGAATGTGAAAGTCAGCTACAGTTGTATGGATAATATGGCATGCATCATAAGACGACACAACAACACAATCCTTAACCGTAAGCCGAATTTGCCTGAAAGAAACTGCAACTGCAGAGTTAAGACGGAATGCCCCTTGTGGTGCATGCCTGACCAAGAGTATTGTTTACAAAGCAGATATAACAGCAAATGGCCACGAAACAAAGCACTACATCGGCATGACTGAACATGAATTCAAAACAAGGTACAATGTCCACAAGCAATCATTTAAACATGCAAAATATGAAAACTCTACTGCATTGTCAAAGTACGTCTGGAAGTTAAAGAAATTGGATGTTGAATATTCTATCAAATGGTCCATTTTGAAACGAGCAAAGGCATACACTGCTGGATCGAAACAATGTGCCCTGTGTTTGACGGAGAAGCTCTGTATTATAAACGCTAACAAAGGCACCCTTTTAAACAAAAGATCTGAATTAATTTCTAAGTGTAGACATGAAAACAAATTTTATGCAAGTAATTATAAGCCGGCGTAGACGCCTGCCTTTATTTAGTCTGATGATCGCCTTTGAGCGTGAAACTCCGAGTTACTGACTGTTTTTAGTTTATAATTTTAGTATTTTAATATAAATGGATTTCTCGTTTTAACAGTTTTAACTATTTTATATATATATATATACATATATATATACATATATATATACATATATATATACATATATATATATACATATATATATACATATATATATACATAATTAATATATATATACATATATATATACATATATATATACATATATATATACATATATATATACATATATATATACATATATATACATATATATATACATATATATATATACATATATATACATATATATATGCATATATATACGTATATATATATATATATATATCTATAAAAAAAGTTTGTCTCGAAAGCAATGAAGATCAGACAAAGGATATCAAACAACACTAAATCTAATCATTTTGCACAAACGTTTTCGCTTTATTGAAAGCTCCTCAGGTGCTGAATACTTTGTAAGAAATGAGTTGTGATATCCTATATTTACATATTTCACTGGTTTGCCACTACGTCACTACACGTGTGGTGTTGGATTACTTAATGGTAATTATTTACATAAATATTTCACACAAACAAAGATATGAAAATATATAACAAAATCTTACATAAACTGCATGGTATTATTATTGACATGAATTTAAATCCGGCTGAAGTATAGTTATAATGTCTCTTTCCTTCGACTCCCTGACTAAGCGGTCTGAATGACTGTCACATTGATAAATCGGCATAATCTGGAAGTTGCCATTGCTACATTTTCTGATGTGCTCACTTACTGCTAAGTGGCAATATTCTTTATGGTTTATTTGCTGTCTGTGTAGCGTAACTCTGTGACGGAGATTTTCAGTTGGCCGACATAAAAACTTTTGATTTTGTGCAGAGTAGAACGTATATAACGTTCCGCGATTTACAATTCATCTGACATTTTATATTCCACGCTTTGCCGTTCTTCAGTTTGATATCAACTCCGGTCACTATGATTGCACAGGTACCGCATCTTGTTTCTCCGCATTTTGTCACACTGCTGGGAGTTCTCTCGGAAACGAACCGGGCTTGTGTTAGTTGTTTCTTCAAGTTTTTTGGCTGGCGGCGGCTGACAATAAACTTTGTACTTTCCAGAATTGTTTTCATGTTCTCGGAGTTCTCTAGGAATTGCATGTCCTGTTTTATCTTATTGATTACTTGTGGGTTGTTGGGATTATGTGTCAAAACCAACGGAAGGATCTTTGCGTTGTCATCTCTGTTTTTTGGTGTTCTAAGTTCGGCCATTGGTAGAGAGGTTGCTTTCTCTATTCCCTTTGTGATGAGGTTCTTAGGGTAGTTTTGTTGTAACAGGAATTTTTCGAGTTCGCAGAGTCGTTTTGTTTTGATGTGTGGGTCTGACACAATGCAACATATGCGACGAGCCAGGCTGTAAGGGATGTTGGTTTTCGTGTGTTTGGGATGACACGAGTTAAAGTTGAGATATTGGTTTGTGTCAGTTGCCTTGTAGAAGATGTCCGTATTCAACTTGTCATCTTGCTTGTACACTAACACATCTAGAAATGGCAGCTTGGCGTTGTCAAATTCTACCGTGAAATTGATGCTTTCGTGGAGACTGGTTAACATAGCATGTAGTTTCCTCAGATCTTCCTCTGATTTGTTCCAGATTGTGAAACAATCGTCTAAATATCTCTGGAAAGCGCGTACAAATTCCTCCTTTTGTTCACTACCAAATCGCGTTTCGAATTCTGAGTACAGTTTCTCTTCCAGGTATCCAAGTACGAGGGTCGCATAAGTTAGGGCCATTTTCGTCCCCATCGCTGTTCCCTGAATTTGTTGATATAATTTATTGTCGAAGTGGAAAGTGTTCTCTTTCAGGACAATTGTAATCGATTCCATGATGAATTCTTTAGAAAACGATCGGTTGAGAGAATTTCCAAAGTTGTCAATCCAGTATTCGATAGCTGTAAGGCCGAGTTCATGCGGAATACTCGTAAATGATACAAGGAGTGCGTTATCATTGACTGTTTCTGGGAGGTGGCTTAAAAAATCGAGGTCATCGCGGATGAAACTTGGTACATGTTGACACAGGGGCTTCAAAATTATGTCTATCAAATTGCTCAATCGATGTGTGGGTGACGATGGACCAGCAACAATCGGGCGAAGTTTTAGATCTGGTGGCGCTTGTATCTTGATGTACGTGGAGTTTTGTTGTTCTATGGCTTCTTTTACGGCTTGTGATTTGTGGATTTTTGGTAGTCCATAGAAGTTGGAGGTTTTCCAGGCGAAATTCTGCAAGTAATCTTTCTCTTTCCTTGTTGTTTCCTTGTCGAATTTTTTCAAGTGTGTTCCAATTTTTTTGATGATTTTATCATCATAGTTCGTGTCTGTCAGTTCTGCGTAGTGTTCGTTGTCGGCCAGCATTTCTTGTATTTTAGCACAATAAAATGTTTTGTCCATGACCACGGTCGCTCCGCCTTTATCAGCCTCCTTAATGATAATTGTGTCATCGTTTTTCAATTTGTCCAATGCGTCTTGTTCGGCTCTGGATAGGTTGTTTTTCTTCGCCGTTGTGTTGTGTTTATGGTAGTTCGCTGTTGCTTCAATAAACATGTTGAGGTATCTATCTTCTGACTTTGGTGGTACAAAGTTTGATGGGTTTTTCACCAACGATTTGTCAGTATCTTCATTTGGTCGCTGGTTGTTAAAAAATTCCAGTAGACGCATTCTTCTGGTAAATTCCTGAATGTCAGTTTTTAGTTCACTTCGATTCTGTTTCGGTGTTGGAGTGAATTTGAGACCTCGTTCTAATAGATTGATTTCTTCATTCGATAATTCTCTCGAAGAATGCGTCTACTGGAATTTTTTAACAACCAGCGACCAAATGAAGATACTGACAAATCGTTGGTGAAAAACCCATCAAACTTTGTACCACCAAAGTCAGAAGATAGATACCTCAACATGTTTATTGAAGCAACAGCGAACTACCATAAACACAACACAACGGCGAAGAAAAACAACCTATCCAGAGCCGAACAAGACGCATTGGACAAATTGAAAAACGATGACACAATTATCATTAAGGAGGCTGATAAAGGCGGAGCGACCGTGGTCATGGACAAAACATTTTATTGTGCTAAAATACAAGAAATGCTGGCCGACAACGAACACTACGCAGAACTGACAGACACGAACTATGATGATAAAATCATCAAAAAAATTGGAACACACTTGAAAAAATTCGACAAGGAAACAACAAGGAAAGAGAAAGATTACTTGCAGAATTTCGCCTGGAAAACCTCCAACTTCTATGGACTACCAAAATCCACAAATCACAAGCCGTAAAAGAAGCCATAGAACAACAAAACTCCACGTACATCAAGATACAAGCGCCACCAGATCTGAAACTTCGCCCGATTGTTGCTGGTCCATCGTCACCCACACATCGATTGAGCAATTTGATAGACATAATTTTGAAGCCCCTGTGTCAACATGTACCAAGTTTCATCCGCGATGACCTCGATTTTTTAAGCCACCTCCCAGAAACAGTCAATGATAACGCACTCCTTGTATCATTTGACGTTGTCAACCTATATACGAGTATTCCGCATGAACTCGGCCTTACAGCTATCGAATACTGGATTGACAACTTTGGAAATTCTCTCAACCGATCGTTTTCTAAAGAATTCATCATGGAATCGATTACAATTGTCCTGAAAGAGAACACTTTCCACTTCGACAATAAATTATATCAACAAATTCAGGGAACAGCGATGGGGACGAAAATGGCCCCAACTTATGCGACCCTCGTACTTGGATACCTGGAAGAGAAACTGTACTCAGAATTCGAAACGCGATTTGGTAGTGAACAAAAGGAGGAATTTGTACGCGCTTTCCAGAGATATTTAGACGATTGTTTCACAATCTGGAACAAATCAGAGGAAGATCTGAGGAAACTACATGCTATGTTAAACAGTCTCCACGAAAGCATCAATTTCACGGTAGAATTTGACAACGCCAAGCTGCCATTTCTAGATGTGTTAGTGTACAAGCAAGATGACAAGTTGAATACGGACATCTTCTACAAGGCAACTGACACAAACCAATATCTCAACTTTAACTCGTGTCATCCCAAACACACGAAAAAACATCCCTTACAGCCTGGCTCGTCGCATATGTTGCATTGTGTCAGACCCACACATCAAAACAAAACGACTCGCGAACTCGAAAAATTCCTGTTACAACAAAACTACCCTAAGAACCTCATCACAAAGGGAATAGAGAAAGCAACCTCTCTACCAATGGCCGAACTTAGAACACCAAAAAACAGAGATGACAACGCAAAGATCCTTCCGCTGGTTTTGACACATAATCCCAACAACCCACAAGTAATCAATAAGATAAAACAGGACATGCAATTCCTAGAGAACTCCGAGAACATGAAAACAATTCTGGAAAGTACAAAGTTTATTGTCAGCCGCCGCCAGCCAAAAAACTTGAAGAAACAACTAACACAAGCCCGGTTCGTTTCCGAGAGAACTCCAGCAGTGTGACAAAATGCGGAGAAACAAGATGCGGTACCTGTGCAATCATAGTGACCGGAGTTGATATCAAACTGAAGAACGGCAAAGCGTGGAATATAAAATGTCAGATGAATTGTAAATCGCGGAACGTTATATACGTTCTACTCTGCACAAAATGCAAAAGTTTTTATGTCGGCCGAACTGAAAATCTCCGTCACAGAGTTACGCTACACAGACAGCAAATAAACCATAAAGAATATTGCCACTTAGCAGTAAGTGAGCACATCAGAAAATGTAGCAATGGCAACTTCCAGATTATGCCGATTTATCAATGTGACAGTCATTCAGACCGCTTAGTCAGGGAGTCGAAGGAAAGAGACATTATAACTATACTTCAGCCGGATTTAAATTCATGTCAATAATAATACCATGCAGTTTATGTAAGATTTTGTTATATATTTTCATATCTTTGTTTGTGTGAAATATTTATGTAAATAATTACCATTAAGTAATCCAACACCACACGTGTAGTGACGTAGTGGCAAACTAGTGAAATATGTAAATATAGGATATCACAACTCATTTCTTACAAAGTATTCAGCACCTGAGGAGCTTTCAATAAAACGAAAACGTTTGTGCAAAATGATTAGATTTAGTGTTGTTTGATATCCTTTGTCTGATCTTCATTGCTTCCGAGACAAACT